ACACTAGAGATGACTCTTCTTTTTCCCATAAAATTCATATCACAAAATATGAGTTCCAAGTGAAAAAAAAATCTCAATAACCAGTCTCATGTTGCTCATATATCTATAATCTTGAAATACAGTAACAACACAAATATATAAATCTAATACATATAATCGAGATCATTTTTTAAGTGATCTTTATCTCATGTGATAAACAAGATCCGGATGATACAATTATGTCTCCCTGGAATTTTAAACAGCGAACGTACCGGAAACATTCCCAAGTGTTGCAAGCGGCGATCCTGCATCTGTGAAGTAGGATGCGAGATTGACCTCCGAGTTGTTGTATTTGTTCAAGAAAGGATGTTCCTGAAAACGTTTTTCAAACCCGAGGATGATTTCAACCTTTGGATTGGATAGAAAAATATGAAAAAGCTAGTATTATATAAAACAAACCATCAGTTCCTTTGCAGAGCTCCGACTGTTCGGGTCCTTTTGCAAACTGAAATAGAGTTGAGAGTAGAATCATTTAAGTTAGCAAGTAATCCCGGTAAAAGAGCAGGATTTTTTTAATGAGAGATTACCATGTGGAGATAAATGAAGATAACTCAGGGGAGAAATCTCCTAAAGGAAGAGCGGGTGGTGGTTGGTCAACAATGGCTTCCATCAACTCGAAAACACTGGTCCATGTTTCCTCTTGATCCGGAGGTGCATAAGGGAACTTTCCTGTTGCACATTCAAGCACTACTAAACCCAAGCTCCATATATCACTTTTATTACCGTACTTGTTCCCAACGATTCTCTCTGGCTATAAAAAGAAAAATTAAGATTTTGAATTGTTATAACACTTAGAGGGTTTCAATCTAGTCAATGCTCAACAGACAGAGGGATACTTACAGACATATAATTGTAAGTCCCGACAAATGTGTTTGCTAAACCTGCGGTGTTTGTCATAACTGTACTCACACCAAAGTCAGTGATTTTGACTTCTCCTCTGTGGTTGATCAACAGATTGGATGGTTTCAAATCACGGTGGATGATATGCCTATCGTGATGAAGATAGATCAATCCCTGAAGCACCTGTATTAACAGATTCAATTAAACACATAAATAAACCGATACAGGAAAGTATGCTTTATGCTGGACTTAGTTTCCTCTCTTTCTTACTTGCTTAAAGATGGCAGAAAGATAGGATTCAGGGATGAATTTAACTGATTTGAGAAAGTCTGCTAGAGACCCTCCGTCCATGTACTCCAAGATTAGTGAGATTGCGCCATTATCATAATATGATTGGTACGAGGTAACAAGATATGGACATTGTGATGATTGATTTATTTTGAGCTCTTGTGCAATTGCCTTTCGAATTGCTTCATCGACATTTAGTTGAATGACCTAATTGTAGAGCAGAGTCATGCAAGAAAGAGAACAAAAAGGAATCAGGTTCCGCTGAAAAGAGGAATTGCACAGTGAACAAGGAAAGGGAGAAGAAAGGAAGAAAAAAAATCACATTCACATCCATAGACATTAGGAATAGAATCTGAAATTTGAGGAAGCTGATACGGACAAGTAAGCGATGAACTAAAGGAAACATCACAGCAAGAAATCTACAGAAATTTGGTTTGTAGACAATGATTTCGCCTTTCAGAATTCTAGAAATAAAACACCTTTAGATAAAAGCTTACTCTTGAATCAATTCGAAAAAAGATTTGTAATTCTGTTAACAAACAGATATAAGATTGGCCAATCCATTTGTGTTGGAACTATCAAATGGGTAATCAATGAGTACCTTCAACGCGAAAAACTGGCCAGTCCATTTGTGTTGAACTAACTGTACAACACCACTGCTTCCTTTTCCAATAACTTTCACCATATCCAAATCCGACAAGCTCAATTCATCATCCGTTGGCATAATTGGAGACAGCTGAAAACACAGTCACAATGAAACAGTAATCAAGACCGACATGAGCTTGAGTGATGTGTAAATCCCTGAAATCTCAATCCAATACTTCAGTAAACGACCTTAAAAAAAAGTTTCCAATTATGATATCAGATCAAACAACCACATTACACTCGAATTCCCCCTTCATACATTCCACATAACCCAATAATCAGAAGCAAAATCTTCAATTCACAGTACCAAATACACACTCTAGCCTAAAAACCTCGCGAAATTCAGTAACTAAAATCAATACCGAAATACAAGAGAGAAGGGAGAAGAAAGACTTACAACTTCAGGCTCCGATTGAGAAACGATTCTAACTCCATCCTTGTTAACTCGTAGATCTCCATCTTTAAACGTACCGCTCTGCGTCCTATGGATACAACAGAAACCCTAAGTTTCTTCCCCAAAAAAAAAATCAAAAACCATTTTTCGCACACAGATCTATCTGGGAAAGATGAGAGAGAGAGCTTGAGATCGAGATAGATACAGGAATTTGGTGATGGATTCTTCACCAGCAACCGGAATCGAGAGCTTGAGATTATTGCTAAAACCACCT